CATGCACCTCCGCACCTTAGTATTTTACTTCCGCACTGCGCCTCCTCTGAGTCTCGGTATGCTTTTCTCTTTCCTTCTAGTTGTAGAATTTCCACTCAGCCAGCCTTCCTGTGGTTCTGGATGATGTCTGTTCCATCTTTTAGTTTATTTTTGAAGTGGTTGTGCGAGGCAGCAATCTCCGGTGTTTACCTATACCGCCATCTTGGTTTCTCTCCTGGTTTTAAAGTTTTAAATTGAAGTTTTTCTGTTAAAAAAAAACACTTTAACACTTTTTGACTTTCAATATTTAAAGTTAGAAATTAGCGACAAGTAAATATCTTGATATCATGTCAGTGTGTCATTGTATCCAGTGTTTACCTATACTGCCATCTTGGTTTCTCTCCTGGTTTTAAAGTTTTAAATTGAAGTTTTTCTGTTAACAGAAAACACTTTAACACTTTTTGACTTTCAATATTTAAAGTTAGAAATTAGCGACAAGTAAATATCTTGATATCATGTCAGTGTGGTGTCATTGTAATCCTATAAATACTGTATTTATCAGTACATTTTTTTCACACAGTTTGTTGGTAGCCATGGCCGTGGACCACTGGTAATACGTAGATCTGTAAGAGGTGCTAAGAACAAAGTTGGAGTTCATATTAACCTACTAAGGAAGGTTGTTACCAGAAGGACCATAAAAGTATGTTTCTTTCCTAGGAAACAGATTTTTGTTTCTATCTTGAAGTTTCTTTCATGATGTGAATCATGATACAGAACTGTAATGTGACATCTACTATGTATGTGCAGGGACTATCATAAAATAATGTGTGTATTTATATGTATGTATATGTGAAGGCAGTAGAATGCTTACGTTGAGGGTCTACACCACCCCTGTGGGGCATTTTGGAAATTTGTAGTTGTGTTACTGTTTCTTACTGTAGTTATGTTGGAATACTTATACATTACAGTATTTTATTATAAATTCCTTTTATTTCTTTATAATATAGTTATGCCATTGTCTTTTTTAAGATAGATTTGACAGGTAGCTTATAGTATCTGAATTTCATTTTGGGATAGAGGAGACTATTAAGGGGGCATTAGATCTGGTGGGATTGTCAACTTCTCATCAAGATAATGGTATGATGGGGGCTTCTTTATGATTATCGCCATTGGCCAGGTTTCCTCCTGTGAAGATGAGTTCATACACCTCAAAATCTAGCCAGGTGCTTGATACATGCCTTGGGAGTCTTTTCAGTTTTCTTTCTTGTAGGAATCAATTTTTTTTTTTAAATTTAGAATTAAGCAGATTACCAAAAACCACAAACAACAACAACAACAGACCCCTAAAGCAACCATACAAAGTAATATTCCTTCTTTTTGTTTGAAATTGGGACTATGATCAATGAGTTTTACTACAACAAAAACAATAGTAAAATTATGCTTAAGCATAAGAATAGCAGTGCTTTTTGCATTTTAGTTAGTTTTACTTTAACATTATTAGTGTAATTTTTCTTTGTTCATTTAAGGAAGGAATGCTGGAAAAACATGAATATTTGACATGGATCTTGGATGTTTTAGAAAAAATCAGACCAATGGATGATGATCTTCTTAAACTCCTGTTACCATTAATGCTTCAGGTATAGTATATATAACCAGTTGATTTCATGGGCAGGAAATGATCTGATAAGAATGCTTAGGTAAGTAGAGGTGGAAGAGGAAAAAGTTGCCCTTTGAAATGGAAGGAAAAAAATATCTTGACGCTACAACACATGAAGTGATACGAGGCTTCAGTTCTGGCAGTCATTTGTAATGGCCATTTCAGAGTTTTAGCCACATGCCCTTTTTAAGTATTCTCACTACATTGATTTCTCCCATCACTGAGCTAAGCAAACAGCTCTTTAAATACTGTCCCCTTGTTCACACAGATGTCTGTGAAAACAAAACAAGTCATCTCTTTTTAAGGACCCAGAGGATCTTCTATATTCATTTGACATGTTTTGAGCCACTGTGGGAACTTCCTATTTTAATGATTGGTCTAAAATTTGTTGAAATTTAGGTTATCTGGATGACATTTATTTAAAAAATTAAAATTTCTTTGGAAGGGTAATGCATGTACTTGAGTATTCAAACAATGCAAAAGAGATTCTAATGAAAAGTCACCCATTTCCGGCCCCAGTGTACCCTTTCCGAGGCTGCCCCATGCTGGTCCTGTGTGTCCCCTCTGGGGTGCTTGGGCCTGTGCTGCCTAGTAGAGGAGCCGCCAGCCAGATGTGGCAGTTAACTGTTGGAACTGTGACAAGTACAAATTGATATGTGTTCTCGGTACAAAATACACACCAGATTTCAGACTTAATGCAGAAAAAGGGTATATATAATGTCTCAATACATCTTGGTTTGATTACATGTTGAAATGATAACATTTGCCCATATGAGGATAAATAAAATATATTATTCTTTTAAGTTTACCTTTGTTTTTCCAATGGCTATTAGAAAATTTAAAATTACATATGTGGCTTGTGTTATGTTTCTGTTGGACAGCACTGGTCTATACGGTACCTTTGAAGTTTGTCTTTTTAAGTAAAAAGATTTCTGTATTACGATAGTTATTTCACCGACATGACTGAGTCTGGTGTCCTTGTGCTCCTCAGTATTCAGATGAATTTGTTCAGTCGGCCTACCTGTCTCGTCGTCTTGCCTACTTTTGTGCCCGGCGTCTTGCCTTGCTGCTGAGCGATAGCAGTGGCCTCCTCACTGCCCACTCGCCCCACATGATGATAGGACCAAACAATGCGAGCATTGGGGCCCCCAGCCCCGGCCCCCCCGGCCCTGGCGTGAGCCCCGTGCAGCTGGCCTTCTCAGACTTTCTGTCCTGTGCACAGCACGGTCCCCTCATTTATGGACTTAGTTGTATGTTGCAGGTAAGTCCTTTGACCTTGTTACTTATGTTAGATTTCAGTGTAGGAGATAATTGTGGTGGGAATTGCAACAGCTTTCACATCTCAGCTCTAGTTTCTTCCTCAACCACATAATTTATAGATTGAAATTTCATGTTTTTATTTCCCTATGTTAAATCAAGCCAAAAGAAGATCAGTTGCTTTAGTTTAGCAGTAAGTTATTGTGCTTGTTCTTCATGAGGGCCATTAAGTAGTCAGTGAGTAAAACCCTTTAGGGAATCCATGGAACAAGCCAGCTGTATCACTTCTCTGGAAGATCAGCTTCTTCATGCAGCATCTTTAGCTTCCTCAGTTCACATCCTGAGTGGTTGCCTTTTCTCTCTTCCTTTAAATCCAATCAATCCATCCTGCTTTGCTCCATTGAGCATCACTGCTGGTGCCCTGCGGACCATCCCCAGCATGCTGGCCCCTGAGCTGATGCTGTTAGGAATGAGGTACAGCCCTGCACTAGAGGAGCTCCCAGCTTAGTGTTCAGGTCACACTTCTTGGGCTCTTAATGTGTCCAGCTGTTGGCTAAGGGGCTTTGGGACAGGCCTGGCCTTGGAGACATAGTCTCTGCCCTGGTAGAGTTTGCTGCTTTGTCAGGAAGACAGGCTGACAGGCAGTTTCTGAGACTCCGACAAGGGCTGACAGAGGGATGCACAGTGAGCTAAGGGAGTTGAGAAGGATCATTTCTGATCCCACCTAGAATTCAGGGGAGCTTCCTGAGGACATAGTCCTGACTGGCGCTTACAATATGAGTTAAAAAAGGTGGTAGAGTGTTCCTGGCAGAGCTCACAGCAGGGGCAGAGGCTCAGAGGGTTGGCTGGCCCTCTTGTGTGCAGGTCGGTATTAATGGAACATGGAGTATAAAATCTGTTGGGGATCAGCACATAGAAGACCCTTGTGCACCTTATGATTGGGTATAACTTATGATTGAGGATTTTGTGCATGGAAGTAACAGTGTGTGGTTAGTTAGATTGTTTTAGCAACAGTAGAGGGAGGGACAACTTATGGGAGTGAGGAAGTAGGGGAGAGAGAGACAAGGCAAAGAAGTAAGTTTGGAAGAGCCTAGGTAAGTTCAATTTTGGACTGTTTTATCCCTTAGGATCTCCAAGTGGGTATTTTCAAGAGCTTGTTACATGTCTGATTCTGTCTCCTGAGCCAAGATGACCGGCCACATGTAGATTTGAATCATTCAAGGCATGTGGCTGGGAGGGGCGAGGTTACCTAAAGAATTAGTGGTGGGAGAGGCCAGGTGGACCAAGGGGCATGAGTGGTTAAGAGATGGCAGAGGGGATTTCACAGAGATGACCCAGAAAGTTGGGTCAAACTGGAGAGAGAGTGAGAGAGAATTTATTGTAGAAACAAAGACGAGGAGAAGAAGAATACTGAGCATGTTCTGTGTTCTAGGCACTGTTCTAAGTTGTATCATATATTAAGCCATCTAGTTCTCAGAACCACCCTATCTGATAGTAACCTCTGTTATTTTTGTAACACTAACGATGAAAGGTAGTATAGGTCATACCTGAGGTCAGTGGCAAAGCTGCAATTCAGACCAAAATTCTGGATCCAGAGTCCACATTCTTGACAACCACATTAAATGTCTTCTCTAGGTACTGCAGAAAGTTTCGAAATGGAGTTAGTAGTGGTAGTGGCAGTGCCCAGTGGATTGGGGAGGTCTGGTAAGAAGGTGGCTGAACTTGTCTTCGACAGTATGGTGGTGTCTTTGATGATCAGTCAGATTTTGGGTGAGAAGCCAGGTTAAGGCAGGTTGACAGGTGATGCAGAATGAGGTGAAATAATGTTCCTCTTAGTTTGAGAACTGTGTCTATGAAGGCAAGAGATAGAAATTGCAGCTGTGTGAATGAGATTTTTTTAAAAAAAAATTATTTTTGACGGGCGTTATTTCTAAGCTAAGGGTAGACTAGTAGAGGTGAGTCTGGGAATAGTATTTGATAGATCATTGTCTTGGATATGGGAGGCTTTGGAACTAAGAACGCAAGGGAAGGGCTCTGCCATGGACAGGCGGTGAGAACCCCACGGTGTCACAGACAGGATGAAGTGGGGAGGGATAGATGCCAGGGGAGATGTGCACTGGAGAGTTCAGAGACTTTACGGTCCTCCTGTTTGCCATCTGATTTCCACAGACATGTCTCCATACCTCCAAAGGTAGTACTTTTATTTTTCTATTCACTTTTTAGAAAAAGGAAATGTTGCATTCATTCTCTCAGCTCTTTTTGTTTGCTGTTGAGTGGCATGATAGCAGAATGGTTAAGACATATACTTTAAAATCATTCAGACAGACCGGACTTGGGCTCTGCTCTGCCAGTTGATAACTTGGACCTTGAGGCTCTGTTTCCCAAGTGTGAATGGGGGATGATGACAGTTCTTCTTCTTTTTTTTTTAAAAAAAATCTTTATTGTTTAAAGTATTACCTATAGTATTACATATGTCTCCTTTTCCCCCCATTGGCCACCCCCACATCCCCAGCACATGCCCTCAGCCCCTAGTGTCTGTGTCCATTGGTTATGCTTATATACATGCATACAAGTCCTTTGGTTGATCCCTTACCCCCTACCTCCACCTTCCCCTGCCTTCCCTCTGAAGATTGATGGACTGTTTAATGCTTTACTTATTACCAGATGGGTTTAAGATTATGAGAACAGAAAGCTTCCAGGATATTGTTCAGCACAAAGTATGTGTTCAATTAAAATGTGAGCTGTACTATTTACTTTGCATTTTAGAGGCAGCAGGATCAACATAGGAGTGCCAGGCACGTGTGCTGGACTCAATTTGGGGCTGTTACTAATCTCTGTCTCACGTTCCTCTTTCACACAGTTGGGGAATGGGGTTGCTGTGACGTAGAAGTAAGGTGGTCATAGAAAGTAGTTCGGGCAAGCTGGTTGAGTTAGACAGTCTGTAAGGGGCTCAGCCAGGGTGGACGAGCTACAACTGAGGGCCAAGTGCAGCCTGTGAGCTATAATCGTTTCATGTTTCCAATGAGTTATTAAAACAAAAAAAGAAGAATATGAGACAGAAACTATAGATGTTCCAAAAAGCTCAAAACATTTACTGTCTGGCTTTTTATAGAAAAAATTTGCCAACCGTGATGATTACTTCATTTTTATGTTTCCTAGGTTTCCTGTACTAGGTTTTCTGTACTAGGTAATTTCGTAATACTATACTTCCTCCCTTTCAAAGGGGTAATTCTGTCTTAGTTTTGTCTTATCACTTGAAAAGATGAGACTTGGATAAGATATTTTAATCTTACTGGTAAGAAACTGTAATAGTCATGATAAGGTGTCATTTTACTGTGAAGCTGTTGTTATACCTTTTCTTTCTCTTTATCTGGATTTTCCTGCTTTCTCTCCAGACTGTCACTCTCTGTTGCCCAAGTGCCTTAGTGTGGAATTATTCCACAAACGACAGTAAGAGCGTGAACCCAGGCTCACCCCTGGATCTACTGCAGGTGGCGCCCTCCAGCCTCCCCATGCCGGGCGGGAATACGGCCTTCAATCAGCAGGTAGACTTTCTGTTGCAGTGCTTTGATGGGGGTTCTCATTCTTGAGAGTCGTCAGGGCATAGAGGGCCAGGTGAGTTTTAACATCTCACATGCTTGGGTGCCATTTTCAGTTCTGCCCCTCTCTCTGGGTGGCCTTGGGGGGAAGCATGTTGCTCCCTTTCTTCTTACCCTTTGCCAGGCAGTTCTTGCAGAGAGTTCTGCCACCCAGACGATAATTATAGTGGTGTTCCACAACTCTCAAAGTAGTGGTCTGTGATATTTAGTAATTATTATGTTTTTATTAGTGCTGGGTTATTTGGTTCAAAGACTTAAGAAACTTGAACCAAAGAATGGTGACTAATATTTAGAAAAATGTCTCTGTTTTTTCAGAGCAGTCTTATTAAGTTAATAAGCATGACTGGTTGTTTTCATACGTAGAAGAATGGCTTATAGATGATATTTAGAACTTTCACGTTCTATGTGATGTCCTAATATATTTTCAGTTATAAAGGTTTTTTTGTAAGCATTTATTATTAAAAACTGGCATAGGATCACCACTTGTAAATTTTAAAATGCACTCTTGGGGAAACAGGCTGAACTTCCTACAATGCAGTGAATATATAGTTCACCATAGGATTCTCTGCTCATGTGGAAAATCATGACATGATTTAAACAACCACTGTGGCTCTCCAAGCACAAGTTAATTAGAAGTGCTTATTTTTCAGGTTCGGGCAAGGATTTATGAGGTAGAACAGCAGATAAAACAGAGAGGCCGTGCAGTGGAAGTTCGGTGGTCTTTTGACAAGTGCCAAGAGTCAACAGCAGGTACAGAACACAACGGAGGAGTGCTTTTGAACATGGACTTCATCTGCCATGCTTCTGATTCTCATCAACCTGTCCACATATTGGATAAGGCTGCTCTCTGCTCTCTGACGGAGCCACTTAGTGAATTCTGAGGAAGTTCTTTTTTTTTTTTAAATATATTTTATTGATTTTTGATTTTTTACAGAGGGGAGGGGAGAGGGATAGAGAGTTAGAAACATTGATGAGAGAGAAACATCGATCAGCTGCCTCCTGCACACTCCCTACTGAGGATGTGCCCGCAACCAAGATACATGCCCTTAACCGGAATCGAACCTGGGACCCTCCAGTCCGCAGGCCGACACTCTATCCACTGAGCCAAACCGGTTAGGGCATGAGGAAGTTCTTTAGTTTATGCCCTTCAGACCCTGGCTGTCTAGCTTGCCAGGTTTGGTTTTGTTGGCAACTCTTCTATCCTGGGAATGATTTTTTAAAATCCCTTTTGTACCCATAATAATGAGTTTTGTACTGTGCTGTCTGGCCTCATTTAGCCTCTTTAACTGCTTGCTTACTTTTCATTTCTAGGGGTCACCATTAGCCGGGTTTTGCACACATTGGAAGTGTTGGATCGACACTGTTTTGACCGAACTGATTCTAGCAATTCATTGGAGACGCTTTATCATAAGATTTTCTGGCCGCACCAAAATAAAGATAACCAAGAGGTAGTTATTTTTTTCTTCTTTTCCCATTTTATTAGCATATTTTCTTCTTTTTCATTCTATAAATTTTGCCAAAGCCTTCACAATAAAGTGTAATACCTTTTGAAGAGGTCTTCACCCTGAAATCATTCTATTGTACGACTAAAAAGTTCCACCATTATAAAAATGTCCATTGGGCTGGTCTACTAGGTATATCGGTTGGAAAGCTTTTTCTTCATCCTTTTATTGTCATTTCTCATCATTTTCATTTTAGAAGAATATCCTTCATCTAGTGATTGGATTTTATGCAGTGGTTTGGCTTTAATGCAGTGGAAGTAATAGATTTAGCATATCAGAAAGCAGCGAATTAATACCTGTGGTTATGGTCTTTGAAAAATCTATAGACAGTATATTATACAGGATTCTCCAGAGAAACAGAACCAATAGGGGAAAAATGTAAATATAAATATATATACAGTGGGGCCTTGACTTACGAGTGTCCCGACTAACGAGTTTTTTGAGATACCAGCTGTCTCTTGGCCGATTTTTTGCATTGAGTTGATAGAGTAATTTGAGTTAACGAGCTCCTTAATGAGCTCGGTCTTGGAACGAATTAAACTCGTAAGTCAGGTAAACAGAACCAATAGGGGAAAAATGTAAATATAAATATATATACAGTGGGGCCTTGACTTACGAGTGTCCCGACTAACGAGTTTTTTGAGATACCAGCTGTCTCTTGGCCGATTTTTTGCATTGAGTTGATAGAGTAATTTGAGTTAACGAGCTCCTTAATGAGCTCGGTCTTGGAACGAATTAAACTCGTAAGTCAAGGCCCCACTGTATGTATGTATATATATATTAAGAGAGAGAATATTTACAGTCATTTGCCACATAATGATATTTCAGTCAATGACAGATTGCATATATGACGATGGTCCCATAAGATTATAATGGAGCTGAAAAATTCTTATTGCCTACTGATGCTGTAGCCATCATAATGTTGTAGTACAGTGTGTTGCTCATGTGTTTGTGGTGATGCTGGCATAAACAGACCTACTGTGCTACCTGTCATATAAAAGTATCGCACAAAAGTATAGAATATAATACTTGATAATGATAATAAAATGACTGTATTACTGGTTTGTGTATTTGCTGTACTTTTAATTGTCATTTTAGAATGTACTCTTTCTACTTATAAAAAAAAAAGTTTGGTATAAAACAGTATGCTGTATTAAGCCAGCAGCAGCCAGCCTCATACACCTCGTGTTTACCATGTTTGATTGCATCATTTTCTCATGTGCTCAACTTAATCTCATGTTGTTTTGTATGGTAACAAACATTGTACAGGCTTGTAGCCTAGGTGTGTAGTAAGTTAGACTATCTAGGTTTGTGTAGTGCACTCTGATGTTCGTACAACAAAATTGCCTATTGATGCATTTCTCAGAATGTACCCTAATTGTTAAGTGGTGTATGGCTGTATTTTAAGGAATTGGCTCACATGATTATTGGGGCTGGAAAATCTGAAATGTGCAGGGCAGGCCAGCAGGTTGGGGATTCAGGGAAGTGCTGATGTTGCAGCTTGAATCTGAAGGCAGCCTGGAGGCAGAATTCTTTCTTCCTTGGGGTCCTGTATTTTCTCTTAAGGTCTTTAACTGATTGAATAAGGCCCACCCATGTTATAGAAGATAATCTGCTTTACTAAGTCTATGGATTTAAACGTTATTCATATTTTAAAAAAAGTCTTCATCTAAATTGGAGTTTGACCCCAAGACATAGCCTAGCCAAGCTGACACATAAAATTAACCATCACACAGACAGTTGTTATCATATGCTTCCTAGTAATAGATTGTTTCATTACTGAACTTATCTATAAACATCAGATTTTCAGGGTTTTTTTTCCCCCTTCTTATTTTGTGGAGAAATAAAAAGCTTGTGTTCTTTTTACAATGGAAAGTGCCTGTGGTATGTCCAAGTCGTGCTAGGTACCAGGAATGCAGAGGTAAGTTTTAAGACATGGTACCTACCTTCAATGAATACCTTAGTTAACTGATTATAAATACCTTTAGTTTTCATAGTAGTCTTTGGGAATTTCATATATGGAAAGAAGAGAGAACAAAAAGAACCACCACAAATCTTTCACTGTGCTACCTCCACGTGAACTTGATGTGAATCTTTTCCAGATTACTTCTGTTTTGGAATATGTGTGGGTCATCACTCTGCTTCTCGAAGATAAGGTTCATGCCAACTAGGGTGTCCGGATGCTGTGAGTGAGGCACACAGACCCAGTATAATTTCTAACTCGAGCCTAAGTGGAAATGCTTCAGTCCTTCCGGAGAGCATACTGATGATAAAAGACTACATAGTTCTCTGCTCACTGACATCGGACAGAGTGATACTGGGTTCTTCTGGGGGGGACACCTTGAAATCTTTTTTTTTGGAGTAAAGACTTTCTTAGATAAAAGGCTTCAAGAGTGCTAAGATTTATAATATGTAGACGTGAGCTATCTGGAAGGAAAGTAGGGCTACCTGAGATTCAAGGTGTGCTTTTGGATTGCTAACCTGCTTGCGCTAAATGTTGAGTAAAGACTATATTGTTCCCAAGTGAGTTTTACCTAGTCCACCCAAACCGCTTTAGTTTTATGGTTAGCCTGACTACGACGTATCTTTCTAGTTCATGAAATGACCAACTTCAGAATTCCTATGCCTCATTCACACACAGACTTAAGTTACAGGACTCTTAAAGAGAGAAATCATGAGTGTCTGAATGTTTTTGAATAAAATTATATTATCAGATTCTCTCTCAAGCACAGTTATCTCCAATGTGGGTGCCTGAGGTGGGCCATTGGGTGCAAGAGGAAGTGATTAGAATTTCTATTTAGATTACATTTTAAAACAACCAGTTCTGTTTTGTCTAGGTTTTATAATAAACATAATTGTTATGCTGATATTAGTATAGAAACAAATAAATATGTGTTGAGTGAGAGTGTTTGCTAAAAAAATACTGAGCTGAAAAGGTATGTAAGAAATGTTTGGCGATCTCTGCTGTAAGCATCCTCAAGTGAGGGACTTCGCCCAGAATTTGAGAAGTGCGTCCCACTAGAGGGCGATGTGTGCTCAGGGCAGAGAGTCCTGGATACTCTAGTCACAAACACACTTCATTGGAAGGAACGTTAGTGTTGCCCATTTAGGAGTAATTATATTGCATGTTGACTCAACACCAGAAAGATCTGATCTGAGTGAGTGGTTGCTTTGTGATTACTGTGCTGTTTAATGAATAAGACAAAAAACTACATTTTAACCTGTAAGTCAAACTGGTCATCTTTTCTTAATAATTGGTCAGAAAGAATAACTGGATGGAGCCTTCTGAAACATTTAACATGAAATTATTTTTTACAATATGACTTTGGCATCTACTTGTGTGCGTGTGTGTGTTTGTGAACATATGTATGTGTATTAGTATGTATGTGAATGGCAATGTTGCATCTCTGTTTACTCACCACAGGGTTTGCTGTTTACTTGACTTCTGAGTCACATTATATGTTTCTGGAATCCATGTATGAACCATGCAGCTGTATTGACTGCTCAGCTCTGTGACCTCGAACAAGTTACTGGTGGGCTCTGCGCCTTAGTGCTCTTACTTGTTAATCAGCATAGAGCACTTGACCCACTTGTCTCTAAGGAGACAGAGTACTTTCAGAATTATTAAGCACTATGTAAATGTGTTTTAAATTGTTATTATTAGTAATAATCATTATTAGGATTATATTAGAAGAACCAATATAGTGTTATGTTGGAAGTTATAATTCTCTGATAAGGAGGAGTTGTATAAAGTGGTGTCGTTGGTATTCAGATACACATCTCACTTCTTCAAAACGAACTTCCCCTTTTTGATTTTACAATTTGTTAGGGCTTAGACAACGTGATAGATAATAGGATATGCGGCAGCCTCTGCAGTTGCAGTGAGTCTGAGGTTTGCTTTTGCTGAAGTCATGTGTAGGGTCATGAACTGCAGTCTCCTCACATCTGTTTGGGAAACTTGAACTTCATTCTCCTCGATTCCCTTTTCTCTGGAACTGCTAAGGGGAAATGCTATTCTCTCTATTCTCGTGTGGGATGGGGAGAACAGCTATCCAGATGTGATGAGGGGCAGAGGGCCAGGTTTGTTGTGTAATGTCTTGGAGTTTGGTGAAAGCCCATTGCAAACAGTGATGTACGAGATGGGATTCGAGGCCTTGGCCCTGCCCTATGGTTGGAGTGTGGTCACAGGGAGTAGCAGCTGACGTTGTGCCAGGCCTGTGCTTGGGGTGTGCTAGGCCTATAACATGCTTTCACTCAACTCACATAAAATGCATTGTTCCTTTACCCTCCCTCCTTCTCCACTCCCTCCCCAATCCTCAGCTACTGCTTCTGTATCAGGGTTTGGGTACTAGTGTAAGAGCATGAAAGTGCAAATCTCAAAACACCCTCAGTGTTAGTTTTTCTAGATCTGTGCCACTTGATTTTCCATTCAGTGGAGAGTAAGGTGTGAAAATGGCAATTCCTAGGGCAGGGTTGGGCCACACAGGGGCCAGACCGGTGCAGTGCACTGGTGGTGGGCTGCTGTGCACAGGGTGGGCTGAGGTGACCGGGAAATGGGCATGCCTTTTAGGAAAGGGGTGGCCTCTCAGATTCTACTTGGTGTGGCGGACCCACTGTTGCTGATCATCATCATTTCAAGAGAACTGGGATATCAAGATGTGTGTGTAACCTTTCTAAGTCTTATAGCACTCTCCAGGCCAGTCCGCAGGTCTGCTGGTCGTGTTTGCTCGGATGCCTGTCACTTTCCAACTCCTGGTACGTGTTTCATACAACATTTACTCACTCATTTGCCTACTTAGTGTTTTAGAACCATTCCTACTCTTGGTGGTAGAGACAGAGAAGCCGGCATCCCTGTGAGGGAGTTACTGTGTGGGGGTGAGGACCTCCGCTTCCTGATGCTGATGGAGCCCATCACTTGTGAACTCACCTGAGCAGTAGGATGAGGG